GGCAAGGGGAAAGGTGAGTAAACTCGATAATAATAATTAATATAAGTATAGTCGAGTAACAGCAAACTATTGCAGCAAAGGAATTGACAAGAATGGACAAATCAGCATTTGAGAACTCGACCCACCGTATCTCTTCGGCTTTCTCGACGTCTCACGTTTGCTAGAGAGGAGACTATCCCTAGGATGATGGACGTTATTCACAATAGCAAGCAGAGAACTGAGAATATCTGCGTATCCGATATCATTACTAACTGGAAATGTTCCAAAACGCGCAATGGTTTGGAGTTATTTCGGACTACATGATGAATTTTATTTGAATTGAATATATGCATCGTCGATGCGTTTTTGCCTCCAGAGTTTCTGAACAACCCTTTACGCTGGTACTCCAACAGGAGCCGAAGCGGAAGTCTCTCGGGGGGTCGGAGATTCTACCACTCCGGGGGTAAGGGTGTTCTCCCGAGGTCGATGATGACCTTGGAGTATGCTTTCAGATTCACGGTGTATATCGAGGGCGAAGCTGAAGATGTGTCGGAGTTGGACGCTCTTATCGACTCTACTGGAGCTGCTCGGTCGAGTGGCTGGCCCGGTCATCGCGTGCCGATGGATTGCCTACAGACGAGGGTGGCTGTGCTCTTGGGCGATCTGAAACGCTCCTCTGTTGGTAAGTTGACTGTTGTTATTTGTTTGTAGTTATGTGTGTGTCAGCTCAAGCGGGATGCAGATGTCCTCAAGTTCGTTCAGAATGGTTGAGGGAATGCCGGCAACAGGGCCGTGCTGTGGCCCCTGAAGCCTTCCCAGCTGACTTCACTCTGTCGAGTCCTCGCAAGTCGATGGCACCGAGGAAGTCTGAAGGCTCTTGTGAAGGTGTGACGTGGGACAACAACACTAGGGGTAAACTGGATAAGGCGGCAGCAGCAGCGAAGAGAAGTGGAATTGATGCTTCTTCTAATGGTGGATGATATTCGTCGATGCTAATGAAGTTTGAATTTGCACTAATATAGGCGTTGTGTTTCGAGGAGACAGTACTGGAATTGACTGGTCGTCAGGACGGTTATTCGTCCGGGATGGACCGTCTCGAACTCCTCGCCGTGCGTGAGGATCTCATACCACACCAGACGTAACAGTTCTGGGATCGCGTGATCATGCTCCAAAGGGTCAATGGGCTATTGAGTTGATTGGAAATTTTCCTCAATTGTAAATTATGCTCGACACTCGAAATGACTTATTGTCGTCGTTATGTTTTGATCTATGGAATATTCCCAGCGTAGTTTTTGGG